CATTTCCTCAATAAGATGAACATAGAAATTCTATATGACCCAGCTATTCCACTATTTGGAATATATCCTGAGAGAATGAAAACTGAGGTACAAACAGAGACTTGTATACCAATGTTCATAGCAGCTTTATTCACCATAGCAACATGGAAACAGCCCAAATTCCAACCACAATCAAGAGGATTGAGAAATTAGGGTACATTCACACGATGGAATACTACGCAGTATGCAGGAGCAATGACTTTATAAATTACTAGAGGGATTGGAGAGCATTATGCTAAGTGAACTAACTCACTCCCTTAAGGACAAATATTGTAGAACAAGTATGAGGATCCAAAGGGTAAGAGGGGGTAGCAGAGGGCTGAGGATGGGCGAAGGGTGGAGTGTTAATCATTGTTTTTATTGATTGCTTTCTCATAGCAAAATTCATAGTGACCCTATGGACAAAAAACCTGAAGCCACTCTACAACTATTGACATTTATCAAAGTTCACAGAGTTTCTGGAGACATGTTATTTAGGAAGTGAATGCCACTCCAGCTTCCAAACCTGTCATAGTATGTTATTGTTTTATGTGCCATTGAGTTGCCTTTGATGTATAGCGACCCTATACACAGAAGCTCTGAACCCTCCCTGTCCTGAGCCAGTCTCACTAACTCTGACAAACCAACTCTCATCGTCCCATGCATTGTATCAATCCATCTCATCCGTGGTCTCGCTCTCCCGGGCTGTCCGTCCACTCTTCCAAGCATGATGTCTTTTTCCAAGGACTGATATCCCCTGGCCACATGCCCAAAGTAAGTGAGGTGGAGCTTCTAAATCCTAGCCTCCAAGCTAAGACTTGGTTTCACCCTCTCCAAGACAGACCTATTTATTTTCTTGGTAGTCCTTGGTATGTTCAAGACTCTTCTCCAGCATCACAACTTGAAGGTATCTATTCTTCTTCTGTCATCCTTAGCCATTGTCCAACTCTCTGAAGCATAACACGTAATTGAGAAGATCATGGCCTGGATTGGGCAGACTTTTGTATCTACACTAACACTGTTCTTCAGCACTCTGGAGAGATGAACGACAGCAGATTTTCCCAACGTAACTCGTCTTTTGATTTCCTGACTGCTGAAGAGTGTTCATTGTGAATCCAAGCAGGCTATAATTGTAAACAACCTCAATCTCTTCTCCATTTATCATGGTGCTGCCAGTTGGCCCAGTCATGAGAATCTTTGTCTTCTTGATGTTGAGCTTCAATCCATATTGAAGACTACAGTGCAGCAAGTGTTTCAGGTCTTCTTCAGTTTCAGCAAGCAAGGTTGTGTCATCTGCACATCATAGGCTGTTAATGAGTCTTCCTCCAATCTTGATGTCACCCTCCCTCCTCCTCATAAAGCCCTGCTTCCTAAATGATCTGTTCTACATACAGATTGAAAAGGTACGGGGACACGATGCATCCCTGATGGGCTCCTTTCCTGATTTTGAACCATGCAATGTTTACTTGATCCATTCTGAGGACTTCTTGGCCCAAGTATAGGTTTTGTATAAGCACAATTAAGTGCTCTGAGATTCCCATTTTCCTCAAGATTAGCCACAATTTATTGTAATCCACACAGTCAAAGAATGCCTTTGCATAGTCAACGAAACACAGATAGACATTCTTCTGGTACTCTCTGCTTTCTGCCAAGATCCATCTGACATTGGCAATAATGTACCTAGTGCCATGACCTCTTCTAAACCCAGTCTTTATTTCTGGTAGTTCTCTGACAATGTACTGTTCAAGTTTTTTCTGAATAATCTTCAGCAGGATTTTACTAGTGTGTGATAATCATAGGATCGCACAATCTGATGGTTGAAAGGGGGCTGAAGAAATGGGCAAGATCCAGTGTGGAAAAATTGTATAATTAACTATGTAAATAAACAAGTATAAAACAAAATTAAAAAAAAAAAAAAGATTTAGACCAAGCTGATAAAATACCACCGGAGTTATACATGCAACTAGTTGATTCATTATGAGTTATGTATTTGAATTACCTCTCTAGGAGGACCATCTGCTCTCTGATAGAGACCATATCTCAATTCCTGCAATAACTTTACTCTGTATCTTAAACATAAATATTCGAGATCCAAGATGGCAGCGGAGGCAAAGACAGCGTGGTGAGCTGCGGGAGCAACAAACCACTTAAAGCAGGGCCATTATGGCCTTCCACAGACTTCGGCTTATTGATAATTGAACACTTAAACAGTTGATGACTGGCCCTCAGTGAAGATCGAGGCTCAACAACAGGAAGTCAAGGATTCCCAAGGAGAAATGGGTGAGTCTCGTGGCTCC